ATATATACGTATGCATAGAAAACTATAATTATATTATATGAGAGACGTGTTGTTGTTCTACAATATCATCGAACAATCAGTATCTAGTTAATGGTTTTTGGCACCTGCACATGCGGCGTAAAGTCGTAGGTGATAATTTTGGGTGCCAGAAAGCCACCATAGCCGGGACGTCCCTTATAGTAGAGGCCGATGCCGGCTAATGGCACCGGCGGCTGTGACACAACATCCTGTATATCCAAAAATGGGACAGTGCTCTGCGCCGCATCCTTGTCCATGCCCGAATTGACAAATTCGATGTATTGATTGTGCTTGGATATTGGTATCGAGGTGACCACCGATCTCGTGGGCACGTCAGCATTGTAGATGTTTATCTTTTGTCTGTCATGGAGAGAGAAAGTTGTGTTAATTGACAAATGATTTGGATATTTGTGCAATGCCTGACTCACCTGCGTTCACCGCTAACATCGGTATTGTCATTCGATTGCCAAACGCTATTCACTTCCGGCTGTATGAGTTCACCCTTCGTGAAATCGAATTCAGTGAGCCGCGCCTCCAGATTCAAATGGGCGCCAAGGACACGGAAACGCAGTCCGGTGACCACAAAACTATAGTCATCTGTTTTCATGATGTCATCCAGATCAATGGAACGACTCTCATAGCTCAGCGTGTGGTAGTCAATGCCCTTGGCAACATTTCGATCATAGATTTTGTATTCATCGACGGGCTTCCAAGACAAGGTTGACTCATTGATGGCGCCACGTGGCAGCAGTTGACCCTCCTGGATCTGCAGATGGAACACACGATTCCGTTTCACAAAACGCAGGCCGGTAACAACGCTGTGGGCAGCCAACAAATGAATTTGTTAAATATATATATCAAAGATTTATATATGAATTACTTCACTCACTTGTTCTTCTTGATATCCGCCACGGATTCGCGCAGATTAAAGAAACGATCAGACTTCAAGCCCTGCTCGTCGCACAGACAGAAACAGTAGCTGCAATGCCAGAAGAGATAACGCCACCAGCTGTCCACCTTGGTGGTGCCTCGCACACACCTCTGACGCCTTCCGAGCACACGTCCATTCTCGTACTCGACATACTCGTAGCGACGTGTGCTATTCCCTGCCGCCGGGCACACCCACATATCAGAGTCAACGAACTGGCAGTTGTAGAGGCGACCCGTGCACTTGGGCTGTCGCGAGCAAAAGTATTCCTTGAAGCAGCCCTCGCTACGCGTCGACTGATAGAAGGAGCATGTCTCGCGGCATGTCTCATCCGCATTCAGATCCACCTCGTTCTCAATGTATCCCTGCAGCAGGCGTGTCACCTCATCGTATGTTTTGTTTAGTACAAAACGGTCGGGATCACAGCGCCAGACAATACGATCGGAACGGCGCATCACCTCTTTAAGTAGCTTTAGTGTTCGCTCTGTGCGCTTCTCATAGTCGCGACGCATTAGTTCCGCCTCCTGTGAGAAATTGCCACGCCCATAGACGCGCAGCATCATCCATGAGAATTCCATCATGGTGTAGCCCTTCAGTTCGGTCAGTGCGATGTCTGTGTACAGTGAATACACAAATTGTTGGGCCGATTGCTTGGTGTGGCACATTTCATCGGCGGACACCTGAAAATTGCAAATGTAATCAAAATAAATATGCATCTATATAGAAATATTTGCGGTATTCTGTTACGTGCACTCAATAATTGTTGCAATATCAATAGCACAGCTGAATTGTTATAAATTCCAATTATTTAGGAGAACACAAAAAAAAAAAAAAAAAAAAAAAAAAAAAAACATTCGCTCTCTTCTCTCGCTATCTCGCTCATTTTCGCTTTAAAGTCGTGTTTACGTTATCGATAGCACATCTCAATTACAGTTATGACCTGCCATACGTTCCAATTAAAAAGCTGCAAAAGCTTTACTCTCTCCCAGTCTTCGTCTCACTCCCTCGCTCGTACGTTCGCATTTTGTTTTATTTACATTCTATGAAAAACAAAAACAAAACAAAAAAACAGTGCCATCATTCCATTTCCGCTGCTGTGGCTCTGCTGCTGCTATTGCGTGCTGCAGGGTGCAAACAAACCTAGGCAGTGGGGCTGCCCGACTGATAAGCGTATAAAAACACTTGTGAATGTGAGAGAGACGGAGATATTAAATAATTTGGCGTGTGATTTGATCTGTGTGCATGTGGTAGAGTGTGTGTGTGTGTTGGTTCCATTCTGGCAAATGCATTTACAAACTAACTAACCACCATGGCCCTGTAGTAAAGGGCTTGTTTGACCATATATTCCTCGATTGTTTGAAATATTTGCGACATCGAATAATGCTTATCGTTACGCAACACCGCCTCGGTTAAATCCAATACGGCGCGCTCCTCGAGTCCATCGCTTGAGACGGGTTTCATTAGGGTGTTCTGATAAGAATTAAGATTCGTTTTAAGATTATATAGATATGTGTGTTTTTAGTGAAATTGGCGATTCATTGGTATTTCATTGTGGTACCTTATAAAAGTCAAAGATACGATTCAGTTCAGCCAATTTCATCTCCAGTTGATTCCATTCGAAATGATGCATAATTTTATATTTATCACTCGCAAATTCACGGCCCATTTGACGCTTATTAATAAAGTTGCGATGCGAGTCGTAAACCTTGCGCAATTGTGTCTCCTTGTTGTTTTGGCTATTTGCCGTTTTGTTCAAATAAATCCAGAGCGCACGCTCCAAACTGAGATATTCGATGCGCAGGGCATCCACCTCAGTCATTGGAATCCGATGCATATACGCCGACTGCGCAGCAGCGCCAGCGCCAACAGAAATCAGCATCAGCATTAACAGCAGCAGCAACAACATTATCGTTGACATTGGGTTATTTCTCTTCTCCATGTCTGCTCTTTTACGCAGCACAATAATTGATGTGATTGACGGACTTCCAAGAATCGATAGAATATCTTTAGCCACTTTTCTGAATCGACTTCTTTCTTCTTTTTTATCTTATTGGTTTTATTACTTATATTACCAGCAAGCTGTAAATCGGCGTTGCCAGTCTTTTCGAACAAAGGCACCGACTTAGTTTTCAATGTGCATATGTATGTATGCATGCATGTGCATGCATAAATGTTGTCCGTTATAGTCGCCCTGCAGCCAGAAGTAATTCTCACACATTACACATATGCTGTGTAGTGTAATTTGTTAAATGCTTAATTTCAATTCAGTTTAGTTTACATTTGATTTGATTTTGCGATTTATTTTATTTTTTGCTGAACACTTTTAAGCTTTGTGTCGCTGCTGTTGCTGGTTGTTTAGCTACTGTTTGCTGCTTTCAGCCGCTCTGCTGACTTTTGTGAAACGCGTGCTGTATATGTGTATAAATATATGTACATGTGTGTGTGTGTGTGCACGTATGAGTGTGTATCGCTCGGCACATTCAGAATCAGAATTTACTCCCGCTCACTGTGTGCGCTCGTCGCTCCCTTGAGCCGCTTTCGAGTACTTTTTTGTATAATTTTTTTTTTTTTAGTTTTCGTATTGTATGGTTCTTGCCGTTTTACTATACATCTAGCGCTAGTCGGCATCGACGACGCTGAGCGTTCGTTAAAAAAATGAAACAAAAGTCTGAGAGCTTTGCGTTTTTCATTGTGTTGGCGGCCAGACATGGAGCGCTTTAAGCATTACACACACACACACAAGTGCAATTTTCGCATGCTGGTTTGAGTGAGTGCGAGAGCGCGAGCGCACTCTATTGGACGTTCTGCTAATTCTTACAGTATTTACGACACCAAAGGGGCGGAGTCGGGCAACAATGCACGATCAGCTGTTCGCACCTGTTCAATCTTAAATTAATATCGATAGTCGTGACGTCACATTTATATACTTTAGTACCACTATCAGCTGTATAGACGACAATTTACTCATTTTTCACTCTTTCTTCGGCTTCCCTGCACTGCTCTCTCGCGTACGCGCGCGTTCTCTCTTTGTATCTCTCTCGCTCTCTTCTGAGCCACCACCATGACATGCATTCAGAAACAACAAAGACATGCTGAAACGCTGTTGGGGGCAGCGCAGCTGCATTGCCCTATTCTCAAACAAGTCGCGTTTGCGTTTTCTTAATGTTTGTTTGTTTGCTTGTACGCATTGTTTACATTAGACGAGACCTTTGACCTCAGTATGTGTAGCTAAATAGAGGTTTACATCCATACGTATGTATGTATATGTGTGTTTTTGGTGGGTGTATGTCTCCGTATAAATGTCAGCTTTTGCAAATTTAACATGTTTTTTTTTTTGCAGCAGCTTCAGCACTGATTAAATAAATGAAATTTGCTGCTAATTCGTATGCGTGCGTTTGTAGTTGAGTATGTCGCACTGTGTGTGTGTGTGTGTGTGTGCGTGAGTGTGTGTGCGTGAGTGTGTGTGAGTGAAGTGTGGCTCATGTTTTGGCTTCGCTTTGTGTGTCTGTCCGTCCTCCCATTAAATTCCGTTGTTTCTGCTTGTGGATGAGTAATACATATGAATATTGAGTCGCGGCCGACGCGGTTCAAGTTATGGACTTTCTTTTGGGGTTGCCCAATTGGCAGAATAAAGAAGAATAAATAAACACAAAGGCAAAAGGCGAGAAACGTTTAGCAAGCTGGACCGGAAAGTCGAGTTCAATTGGATCCATTTCTGGGAACGTTTTAACGTCAACAACAGCAGCTAACTAACTAAACTAACCCAGCTCAATGCGATGAATCATTCATTCATCCATTCATCTCATGTAGGAAGTCAAATTCACATGCACAAGTGATATTTTTGAATTGGAATTTGCATCGTTTAGGTTACCTCATAGCTGGCCGCCAGTTGGGATAGCAAATTGCTCGATGATGAATTTATCTTCTCATCGTTGCCATTGCCCAGCAGCGTCAAGTGCAATCGCTCCATCAGATGATGCACCGAATAGGCATTGGGCGAAACGGTCCATTCAGCGAATGTGATCAGTGTGCTCATCTCTAGCTTATCCTTGTGGGTCTCGTAGTTTTGCATTTGCTGATAGCGCGACGAGATGCGATTCATCGTATCCGATATTTCATTCATTTTTGCCATTAACGGTACATTCCGACTAATGAAGTTGTTAACGGACTCAATGGCCAGCGCCACATACTGCGAGTGCTGCAATGCAATAATTTTGTTGTATTAATTATTTCCAAATTAGTGTGCATTAAAAGTTGAGAGTTTAGTTCGGCCTTAACTCACCTGTGCCTCCGTCTCGTCAATCTGTCTGCTGACCTCCTTCAGACGCTGCAGCACTTTCCGCTGTTTTTCGCGCATCAGCGGAAATTCAATATTGGCCGCCAATGGCGACGATTGTACAATATCCCACGCCTTCAGCACGCCGGTGGTCACCTCCTTAACAATGTGTATAATATCCAATACATCCTCAATGACCGCCTCTGTTGGTGTCGGCTGGCCACCCAGCAGCAAAAGCAAGCTCAACCACAACGACAATGTTGCCCATTTCGCTTGAAACTGCAGCAGCTGCATGTTTGGGTTTATTTGTTGACTCGTTCAAGTTTAGATTACTATTTTATTTTTGCGACCAAAGCAGAAAACTGACACAAGAACGAACAAATAAACACGAACAAAACAACAACAGCAGCGACAGCGACAGCGAGAGCAATAGCAACAATCACAGTCTAACGACTACGGCTCACGCAACTGCGTCAGTTGAAAGGCAAAACGCGAATGGCGGCAAAGGCCGTCGCTTCTATCTGTGGCTGTCTGTGTGATGGCTGCTCTCGCCGTTAGCTTAGTTTGTATTGCTTGACTTCTTTTGCGTTGAAGACATTTTCTCTTTGTTGAATTTTTACAGTTGCATGCGGAGCAGCATAGGTCAACACATAAGTGCGAGTGAGCAAACAATAACGTACAAACAACAACAAACATGCGTATCGGCCGTTGCAGCGCTGCCACACTGTTTCAATACATGTTATTTTGAATGATTCGTTCAAATGCGCTCACTGTAGCGTATCGATAACAAGTTACAAAATATCGTTATGTTATTTAAATTCGAAACATTTCACCTGTTATGTTATCGACTTGAGTCGTTATGATTTCGATGAACGTCGCGACTTACAACACTGATTTCGTTTTGCTTGCTTATCGCGCGCTTATTGATATGTGAAAGGGGGACTCCTGTTTATTCTGCACATTTAAGAGGGCACTATATGGAAAATTGAAATATTTGATGAAAACTTGTAGCCACATAATAATTTTAATTATAAATAAAATGTCTTATTCCATTCTTGTTTATTTTCTTCTCTTTTAGAGCTTTTTCTACGAAATTCTTGCCGGGAAATGGGTGCGCAACGGGCTACAAATCAAAGGCCAAGCAATGACCTACATACAAGCGAACTTTTGCAATTCCATGGCCGACATGGATCTATTCTTTCTGCAAATTTGCGCTACAAATCTGTCGCAATACTTCTTTCTGCAGAATACGATTGAATTGTTCGATGTGGGTCAATGGCTGGAAACGGCGCCGCTGAAGCAACCACAAAAGCCGGAACAATCATCGATGCTCGAGGGTTTTCTCACATTCCTGGCTACCCTGGTAACGAGTCGCACCAATTTGGGCAACGATGAGGCGACCCAATGCATCATTGAGATTAGCGCCCTGTTGGCAACTGAAAACAAGACGCATTCACAGTTGCTTGAACTGATGCCCGAGCGTTCGGGCAATGTGCACACAAAGAACTTTGAGACGTTCCTCAAGAAGCTATCCGTGTACAAAGCACCATCGAGCGGGTCGGAGAATCTGGAACAGGGTCTCTTCACGCCCATCGATGAGGTGTGGGAGGAGTATTATGATCCATTGCATGTGCTGCTGCGCGCTGTCCATCGGCGTGACTTTCAATCGTCGCTGGATCGTTTCACCAACTATGTGAAGTCAAAGGATAAGATGCCAGCCAGTGGAAATCTGTGGCCACCATTTCGTTTGCCATTGCCGGTGGGCAGCGCATTCACCGATCCCTGCAGAATTCTCAACTCTCGCCTCTTCCATTCGACCATACTGTCGATCTTCTTCCGGGCCGTGCATACGCGAGATGTGTCCGAGCATCTGCTCGCCTTGGCTGTCTTTCTGCTCGAGATCGCCGTGGAGACGAGCAGCGATATAAATGCAGGAGGAGCAGGTGGCTCGTCGAACTCATTTGGCGGGCCGGTCGCCTCACCCGTTGCCATGGTCGAGTGTGAGCCGCAGCATAAATCTGGCTACTACTACGGCGGCAGCCGACGTGAGCCGCCCAAGCTCTTCCATTGCTATCCCACGGACAATCTCAGCTGCAATCTGCGCCATGTGGTGACAAAGGTTTCGCTCAAGTCGCGCGATCCACAAGTGACCACGTCTAGCTATCGCTCGAATCCGTTCTTCTCAGATCTGGACTTTGATGTCGATACGGGCGGTATGCGTATGATTGGCGACAGCTACGGCCTGGACGATCTCGACGAGACATCGGGCGCAATGAGCGTGGCACGCACGCAACAGCAGCGCGCCAATAATGCACTCACACGCATGCGCATGGAGGTGGCACTGGTGCCCGATCTGTCGGTGGTCGCCGAGACGGGCGTCGTATTGCTCCAGCCGGATGGTTCTGATAGCGATGGCCATGATGCGGCCATGGATATGAGTCCGGCAGGGGCTGAGTACCCACATTTCCCATTGCAACAGATAACGCTGCCCGAGAGCGGCATGGAAGTGGCCATAAGACGTGATCTCCTGCTTGCCGAGACGACGACGTCAGCGGCAGCAACGAACGACGTTCGTGATAGGGATAGAGATAGGGAGCGGGAGCGTGAACGGGATAGGGACAGGGACAGAGACAGAGACAGGGACAGGGACAGGGAGCGCGATCCGCGCCACACTGGCTCCACAAACACAACCAATGAAATGTTCTCACCCACAACGCCGACGGGCGGCATGCTGTTGCCCTTCCAGCGGGTGCGTCTGCCAGTGGCTGTGCCCAGCAGCAACATGGATGTGGTGCCATCGAATGCGTTGAGCAGCGGCGCTGTTGTCGGTGCCGGGGGTCGCATGACCTACGATCCAAGTGGCGGACGCAAGCGCACCGTCGACATTGCCATCGGTGGCCCCGCCAACAAGGATGAGCTGCATATAGACGAGAGCATATTGTCGCTGCTGCTCAAGCTGCACTCGCAGCTGAGCGGAAATTTGGACAGCTTCTCGCTCAGCGATGGCGGTGGCAGCAACAACAACAACAGCAGCGGCAGCAGCAGTAGCTCTGCTGCTTCATCCTTGCCCATGGATGTGGACTGCAATGAGGCGAGCACCTCGACGAGCACTGCGCTGGCCGAGCGCGGGCATAGTTTTAGCAGTAACTATAAGAACATTCAAGTGTCCAATTCGCGCATCGGCGACGGACCCTTCTTCATTGGGAATCTGCTGCGCAAGATCGCGACAAGGGATGAGCTGTGTGCGCAGAGCATCGATGATATACGGGCCCGCTTGTGGCCCAATCAGCGCGAGAAGCAGGCGGAGGCACGGGCACGCGAGACCAAGGAGAAGGAGGAGCGCCGCAAGAAGGCACGCGAGCGCCAACAGAAGATGATGCAGGACTTTGCCAACAAGCAGAAACAGTTTATGCAATCGGCCGCAGCGGCGGCCAACAATATGGACTTTGGGGCGGAGGATGAGGATGATGAGGCCATGTATGAGGAGCAGCCGAGGGAGAAGGAATACGACTGCATCATTTGCAATTGCACCACGCCCAGCACTGAAACGAATCCCATTGGCCTCGTCGTCCTGATCGAGTCCAGCGGCATCGTTGGCCATCGACGTCGCATCGCCGAACGTCTGCCCCTGCCCCTCAATGATGCGGACAAGGAGCGTTTGGCCCTGACCACACGATTGGCCACCGAATTCGCCCGGCGCACCGAGCTGCTTAGCCTCAAATTCGGCGACGAGTCGTGGTATCTATCGAATAACATGGCCTACGACAATGGCGTCCATGTGCAGTCGTGTGGCCATCATGTGCATCTCAGCTGCCTGGAGGCGTATCTGAAGACGCTCTATACGACGCAACGTCAGCCCGTGCAGGATCGTGGCGAATTCTATTGCCCTGTCTGTCGACAGCTATCCAATTCTGTGCTTCCACTCAGTCCACAGCTGGACAGGCCAACGCACCTCGTCCGCTCCGGCAATCAGCCGTTCGAGCAGCTAGTCGCCGATCTCACGGATCTGATCAAAGAGAACGAAACGATACCGGTAAATGTAAATAGTAAAATCTACATTCCTCATTCAGAAATATATATTTGTGCCGTTGTTATATCCCATATGGATGGTAAATGTATAACAGATCACAGTTAACAGCTTGGTAGTTAACATTGATAGGTTTGTTAACAGACAGACAGGGTATGGTTGATGTAAGAGAGAGTGAGAGAGAGAGCTGGAGAGTAAAAGTAAAGTAAAAGAAAGATAGGAAAATACGATAGATGGAGAGATTGAGAGGAGAGAAATAGAGAGATTGGGATGGATAGAGATTAAGAGATAGAGAGAGGGATAGTACGAGAGATAGTACGAGAGATAGATAGATACAGAGATAGAGGGTGGAATAGAAAGACAGATCTTTTTAACACCATCTATAAGGCAGGAAAGCAAAAAAAAAAACTGAAGAGAAAGACGGTTTCAGATAACGAAACAGAAAACAAGGAAACCGTTTTTCACATCGCTGTTAACATCATCTTTTACAAGTGGTAGGCAAATAGATAAATATTCAGATAAAGAAGAAGCAGGAGCAAAGAGTGTAGATTGATAAGGTTGCCTATCTCTGTTCTATTTTAGATAAATTAACCAAGATAAAAAGAGTTCTTTTGAAGAATCTAATGATTCCATTTCTAACATACGCTTAACAGAATATACGAATGAACTATGTAAAATATATTATTATGATCATGAGCTAGAGGGAATATATGTATATGTAAATATAGAGAGTATTTGAATGTCATTTAATAATGTCATTCCCTAAAGCAGCCGACGAAACTAACAGAGGCCATGGGACATGCCATGGAGGTGATGACCAACATAGCGCAGCGCAAGGTCAAATCCACGAAGATCACGTTCCGGAAGCTGTTCATATTTGTGACATCGATAGCGCGCACCAATCTGGAGGCAGAGATAATACAGCGCGGCGGATCGCTGTGCTCCTCGAATGCGACGCGCTACAAGCCGAAGCGGGATTGCATTGTGCCACTGTTGCATGTGCTGTCGGTGCATGTGCGCGTTCTGGTCGAGTGGCCGCTGTGGAGCAGCTGGGCATCGCTGGCCGGTATGCCGGTGACCGACACCGAGCCATTGCCCACGCATTGCCGCGAGGTGATTCCCAGCCTGCTGGCCGATCCGATAGCGCTGTTGCTCAAATTCATATTGCTGGCGCCGCTGCATCTCGATCAGGGTAAGTTGAGGCGACATCTCCAGCTCGGCACTGAGGTCACTAAAAGACTTCTCTCTCTCTCTCTCGATAGATTACTTCACCTGCATGGTCAAGGTCATGTACAATCTGCTCTACTATCAGATTGTTGTGCAATTGTGCGTTACGCTCACCGAGCTCGAGTGCGATCACATTTTGGCCAATTACGGCGACGAAACGGCCCCAGCTGGCTCACCCACCACAGCAGCAGCAGCAGCAGCAGGAGCAACAGGAGCAACGGCAGCTGGAGCAGCGAGCAGCAGCAATCGTCGCAGCAGCAGCGCACGCTTTGGCCCCGCCCAGAGCTGTGCGGAGCTGGGCAGAGCGATGGCCCTGGTGCTGAATCAAACGAATCGCCTGACGCATCTGCGACGTGACAGCCTGCCCAGCACCAGTAGCAGCAGCAGCAGCAGCAGCGGCGGCGGCAGCGGCAGCACAACAACAGCAGCTGGAGCAGCTGGCAACAGTAGTCAATCGGCATCTGAGCTCAATCTCAAGTCAATGGAGCTGCAGCTGCAGTCGTTGTGTTTGCCGTTCCTGCGCATTGCCGCGCTGCTGCGTCAGCATTTGTATAGGAACGAGATGCCAGAGATATCGGCGCCTGGGCTGGAGTTTGTGCGTTTGGTTTACTATTTGGAACTGGTCACCGATTCCATGGACTGGGATTGCTTCAATGCATCGAAGGGCCTGTGCTTTATACCCGGCACCGAGCACACCTTGCCGCAGTTCTGGTGCAAGCAGCTGATGGACGTCCATCCGCCCTCGGATACGGTGCGCGAGCTGATACTCATGAATCAACACTCGCTGTGGCAGCAGCCGCGTCTGCTCAAGCTGCCGCGCGAATACGAGCGTCTCTTTACGGTGAGTAGCTGCAGAGAGAAAGAGATAGAGTGAGAGAGTGAGGAGAGAGAGTTAACCAGTGAAATGTTAAGCTGCATTTCTTAATCAATTAACATGTCAGCTAACAGAAAGTTAACATGGCTCATGTTAGACATTATATAGACAATCTCTTTGGAATACGGTTTGAATTCATATTTACATTGTCTTTGCAGTACTATCATGAGCGTCCATGCCTCAACTGCTACAAGGTGCCGAAGGAGAGTTCCATTTGTTTGCTATGCGGCACAATTGTCTGCCTCAAGCAGAACTGCTGTGCGGAAAAGGAGTGCTGTGAAGCCGTGCGGGTATATATCCATATCCATAACTATCCATATCCGGTCTATGCAAATAGATATTGATTAAATCATTTGGCTTCTTTCATACTAATTAGCACACATTATCCTGTGGCGGCGGCATTGGCATCTTTCTGGTTGTCACCTCGACGTATATAATTGTCATCCGGGGACGACGTGCCTGCCTCTGGGGCTCACTCTATTTGGATGATTTCGATGAGGAAGATCGTGATCTCAAGTATGTGCCCACCTGCCTAATCCACTAGAGTTTCGAATGTAATTTGCTTGTTCCAATTTTGTTGCAGACGCGGCAAGCCGCTGTATCTGAGTCAAGATCGATTCGATTTGCTGGAATCTCAGTGGCTGTCACATAAATTTGCACACACAAAGCATACGTGGGTGTTCCATCGTGATCTCTTGTGAAACATGGAAGACCTATTGCGCAGCATACAGGAGCTGGTTGGCCAGATCTAAGCAGGAGAGAGACACACACAGCGAGGGAGCGAGCGAGGGAGAGAAAGACAGAATGAAATGATGCCAATCCGAAAGCCTGAATCGAGTCCTCGTCTCCACAACCTTCAACTACTTTCTTAGCCAAAGAAACGATGGTCTCTCATCAGCTTCCCATACACACACTCACTCACTCACACTCACACACACACACACACTACTATGTCTTAAAAAACGAAAAAAAACAAAAAAAATAGATGTGTCTCGCTTTAAACATACAAACAAATTTCTAGTTGCGCGTCACAGCCGGCGATGCCTATGATAAATGTGTCTATGTATATGTATATGTATGTATATGCATATGTATGTATGTATATATATATATGCATATACGGATGAGAAGCAGCAACAGATTTAGCTATGAGTCATATTTAATATATATAAACATACATACTATATAGCTATATATGTATGTGCATACATACATGTATATATATGTATGCATATAAATAAATA